TAAAGAAGAAGAAGGCAGTCCCGTTTATAACAATAGCTTCACTAAAGTTAACAAACCAAGATCTAAGCAATTTTCTGCTAATAATAAGAATGCTAGTTTTGTAAAATTATAAAAAAATACTTGTAATAAGGAAATAGCTTCCTACTAATTACAAATCTCTTAACAGCGTTTATCAACTCTAGTCAGTTTTTTCCTGCCATCGTAATCTTTTCGCCGGATCATTTTTTACATTTGATTTAGTTTTCATAAAAAAAGACATTAACACAAAAAAAAAAGAAATCAATACAGTTCAACAACAAAATAAAGCAAGCTTATCAATTCCAAATACATATGAACATATAATTATGTACATTTGTATATTTGTGCATTGATTAGTTGACTTTATTAACTGTTGTTTCAAATTTAGCAATTAGCCATTGATGCAACTGAATGTAGGGCATATTTAAGGGCACTTTCGTGTTTTTATTTTCACGAAAGAAACGACCAATAACAGGCAGTATTTGAGTACCGAGCGAATATGCAAACGCCAATTATATACCAAGATTGTATTTATATATGTAAATATGTAATGAATACATACATATGTACATATGTGTATGTACTGAATTGTAGACTAAGGCGAAAATTGCTAACGAAAGCATGTTACATATGTACATAAATATATATACCTACATCTACTATATACATACTTGCAAACATAGATTTATAATTACATATGTATGTAGATATGTACATACGGTGGTGAGAATGTAAACATGGAAGAGACATTTTAGCAAGTTTTGGCTATTTTGTAAAATGTAGCTTACAATCTAAAAAAGCTATGTAAATCAAAATTTGGAAACTTTTTAATCAGATTTTTTGAGGATGTAGTTTTATAACGCATTAAATTTTATTATAACAAAGTGCAAATTTTAAGTAGCTGGGACTTACCGTTGATTTTTGGAAGTTTTTATGTTCACGCATTTTCTTCCATACAAAGTACATATGTTCGACAATTTTTTTTTGCATGGAGAAAATTTGTAACACCTTCCACAAAAAAAAAAAAAANTCGTTGACACGGATAAAATCCGGATAGTATGGATATCCGGTTAATTCGTATTTTCGGATATCCAAAAAATCAAGAAAATTTGGTAAAGCATTCACTATGAACAAAAGAATCGTAGCAGCTTTCATTACTCAGGCCATGATATTTTAAAGCCATTGAGAAACTCTCGCGGTCAATTTTATATAATTTTTTATTTGTACGAAATGATATTTTCATTTCACAATACCAGGCGCTCATAGATATGAAGTAGCAAGTTTTCAATACGCATAAATTTCTTTGTAGAACTTTTTAATTCGTTTCTAGGCGCCTTTGAAATTCACAAACTAGAATTTTGGAAATTTAAAAATTCATACAAAATATTTTGTGCGTAGAAATAGAAAACTTGTTACTTCACATTTATGAGGGCCTGGTATTGTGAAATGAAAATTTCGTCTTGAACTGGCCATACGAGTAGCAGGAAAATGGAGACATTTTATTAATTTATTTGTCCTATTTTGCATTTCAATAATATCTGATATCCGGAGACCTAAGGAAAAATCCGGATATTCGGATATCCGAATATTATCTTAGCTTCGGGAATATCCGGATTTTTAGTTTAGTTCTGCGGATATTCGTTAACTCCTTATAATCATTTTTGCGAGGAACTAAACAAAAAATTAGCGCCGAAGAATTATAAGGTGAAAAGAGTGTCATAAAAAAACCATGTAAAAAACTACAATGAGAGCGAAAAAGACAAAATTTCTTTCGACAATCCTCGTTTGGCCGGCCGTGTACACTTGTGGCAAAAAAGCAGCTCATTTGTGACATCGCAGACAAACAACAGTGGTTTATATGCGAAGGAATGCTTACAGAAGATATACAATATATAACTTCCATTCTTATGCTTACATGAAGTATCCACTTTATTGTGGCTTGATCCCGCTTCATATCACTACGGCATATTAGACATAAAAGTGGTTTAAAGCAGTGATGGGCAGCGCAGGCAGAACTCCCTAAGCAAATGAAAAACTTTTGCACATGCTTATGGGGTGCGCTGCCCTGGCCTGGTTTAAAGGAATATCGTAAATTTGGTTCCAATAAAAGCGACCGCTGCACAGTGGTCCAAAATTGGAATTTTTTTTTGGAATTCACTCAATTTTAATATTATTATTTTTTTAATGAAAGCTAATAAAATTTGATAGGGACGAGTTGAGCCAAGTTTATTGAATTTTTGTTTGTTGTATTCAATTTTTTAGTGCAAAGTGCAGAAAAAGGAGCAATTTTGGATTAAATCGATTCTCCTGTTCCAGTTAAAAGATGTTACATAATAAAAAGAAGTTGAAAACAATTGTAGGTCTCTTCCACAGCGATTTTCTTCAAAATTAATAAAATTGAGGGAAAAATGAAGGCTCCAGTGAATTGTGAACACAAAATGTCAATTTTGAACCATTGTGCGCTGTAGCCCAGTGGTTATAGTTGCGTACTCATACTGCGTATGAGCAAGGTTAGACCTCTTGTCAAAGCAACATCCCAAAACAAAAATTTTAGAAATAGGTTTTTAGTAACAGCGGTGGCCCTCGTTTTGCCTTGAAAAAAAAAAACAAACTTCTCATAAAACCCATTTGCCGTTAGGAAGCGGCGTAAAACTTTAGCTCAAATTGGAGAAAAAGCTTATTATTAATAAGTATTATTAGAAACCAATCCACCGAACTCATCTAAACTAACTCCGAATGTGGGATATTAAGCTCTCATTGAAAGATGAACGAAGGTTACAAAAAAAAAACAGGTCAAGTACCTTCAAGACTTTAAAAGAAAGTGGTCTTTAGCAGCTACACCCTCTCAGCTGCTAGACTTTACTATAAAAACGCTAATTGGCCGGCCTTTGGATCAAACGGTAAAAGCTGACGTTACTTTACCACTTTATTTTTATTTCGTGTTAATTCTAAATATAAAATGCTTTAGTTTTTGAAACATATCAATTTTGTAGCTGATAATTTATTTCGGTGCAGTTAACGCATGAACAAAACTGACTTTTGTCTCATCTTGACTTAAAATAAACGGTAATTTTGAGCTATGTTTCTCTTAAAATGTTGCATGCAATAATGCTTGCTAATGACCTACTCACAATAGCCGCGTTTAAGCATGACCATGTTGAGTAGAAGTTTACAGGTTGAAATGAATAATGAAAATTCGGGAAAAATCTTATTTAAAAATTAATGCATAATACGGAGCGTCCCAGCAAATACGGGACATTTGGCAACGCTAATATGTATATACATAATTTTTCTTATAAATAAGCTTTGCTCTATTAAAGTATCTTATAAAGTTAAGAATAATTGGGGCAAGTTGTTGCAAAGTTTAGGTAACATAGACACACACTGCACATATAGATACATAGAATTTTACTGCACACGCTGCATTGCTGTGCAGTAGTAGCACTCGTTAGTAAATGCAGTAGTGCTTGATATTTTATTGCAGCAATGTTTTATTGAAGCAAAGTATTGATTTACTATTTGCAGTAGTCCACATTTGACAGTATATGAAAGCTCTCAGGAAGTGAAGTGTAGTGAAATTAGCAAATGCTTTGATTGCCCTTTAAAAACCATTTATACAGCCCACTAATACATATGAGTGTTACATACTAAAAATTTTAAAATTTTTTTCTATTTACATATTTTCCATAAGACAGTTCATTGACCATATCGTCACTAGACACGAATAAAGGCGCGAGCTCAGAAGTTGACGGCGAAAAAAGACGCATAAAAAAACTTTAGCGTCAAAGATTCTTAACATACTTCGCCGAAGTTTTTCATAAGCATCTTTTTCGCAAAATTTTTTTACGCGCCTTTTTTCGCCGTCAAAACACTAGCGCGCCTTTATTCGTGTGTAGTGACGATATACATACATACATGTGTACATATCTAACATGCGCCAAAATTTCTTCTTCATCACCATCTTATTTAACTGGACAAATACTATTAGGACTGTTTTTGTTTTTCTTCCGTCGCTTGCGCATTATCAACAGTTTTGTACCTCTTGTGAACATTTAGGAATTTTTGAGTTGTGACGACTGATATCTTCATTTTTCTTGGTCCTAAATTCAGCTAAGCGATTCAACAAAGCAGGCAGACGTTCTTTTTCCTCACTGTTGTAATCACAGCAAAGCTGCTAAACAGTATTAATCTTTTTTCTTCAAATTCGTGCTTTTTGTGCAAAAAAAAAAACGATGATCGATATGCGTTGAAGAATTCCAAGGATCTTTGTAACATTTTCTCAAGCACGGCACAATCAGTAGTACTTAGACGAAAACGTGCTTAAAATAAAAAGCTTGAGATGTAGTGCAATGCAAACACTGAAGCCGAACTGTGCTTACCGCATTCGCAAGTTGAGAAAGGTTAAGGCATCTACTAACTGCTTGTGGGAAAATCTGAACACATATATTACAAATCTTTTATAATGTGAGGATGGTCTAATGTTTTGAGGGTCATTCTTGACAGCGTCTGGGTGTTATCGACCAAACATATTTTTTTCTCTCGGGACTAATCGTGTTGCATTTTGAAGACTTTAAAATATAAGAACCCAACGATTTTTTGGTCGATAACACCCTTTTCTCGGTCGCGGTTACATATCGCACACCTAGATCTAAATTGCGATCAACTCGAAAAAAAAAATTTGGACGATTTTTTTGCATAAATCAAATCATGGAACTTACATCCAATTAATGGACATATGTTTTTCTTCATGATTATATACATTAACTAAAAAACTACTGTTATACATGTTTTTGTATTAAATGCGTTGAATCTGTACGATTCACACGCAGTTATATTTGATATGAAAGGATTTTTCTGTAGATTTTTAAGTCATACATTAATGCTAAATGAAGATATCAATTTCAAACATTTTTGTAGGAGTCTTAATCAATAAATTCCTCGTTAAATAATCGAAATTGCTAAATTATTTCTTTATTTTCTAGGATCTTCAAGTACCTTATTGCCAATATGCACAACTCTATTGCATCACTAGAAAAGAATTGCTCAGAGCTCAAATATGAATTTGAGTCAACCAAAGAGAAGTACAACGTTTCATATGAAAATGTTAAGCCCTAAAGTTAAAATTTATGATCATGCATTTTACAGGAATAACACACAAATAGCGGACATTAATAACTCAAAACCTCCCTATAGTTATGTCGCACTCATTGCCATGGCTATTCAGGTAAGACTTGGATTGAAAAAGTTGCACATGGAAATTGAAGCCAACATTTAGGGCATTATTCTAGCGCCAAGCGCCTATAAATATTTATATATGCACTACACCTACGGCTAGTTATTCGTTAAAATATTATTTGGGAACCCAATGAAATATAGCTTTAAAGGGAAAATAGTCTATCTCGACTTAAGCTACTTTAACTGACAGATGCAGCTATATATTTATTTCATTTGTTTTATTTTTTAGAATTCACCCCTTAAACGTGCTACACTTAACGAAATTTACAGTTACATTACAACGCGTTTCCCATATTTCGAACAAAATAAAAAAGGTTGGCAAAATTCCATACGACACAATTTGAGTTTGAATGAATGCTTCATCAAGGTGCCACGTGAGGGTACGGGCGAAAGGAAAGGCAATTATTGGTCTCTGGATACGCAATATGAAAATATGTTCGAAAATGGCAACTATCGAAGGAGAAGAAGAATGAAGCGGCCTTACCGTTCGGTGGGTCATTTTCCGAAATTGCTGACGGATGCCTGCCCATCGAAATTGATTTTCAATCACACACCTTGTCAGACATACTACAGATACAACACAAAGTATTAGCATGTTTTTCAGCGCCAGATTGTGTACATAAATTTAATTAATATATATATATATTTTTTTCAGTACTCAATGGATACCCACACAGCCTTTGTCTACTTACTGCCCGCCAGCAGTTAGGAGTACCTTTCCGAATAACTCAGCGGTAAGTTAATTGAATGAAACAAATGAGTTGGAAATAAGATTCAAATTTGTTTCTTATCGGTAGACAAGTTTCTCACCTCCTTTATTGGGTGCGAATAACTACAACAGCATAATGAATCCGGGTGAGTAATATAATATGTACTTTTTTTTTTTTAAGGCTAGCTGGTTGTACAACAAACACTATATAAATTCATATTTCAAACTTTATACAAAAATTATAAAAATTCTGCAAAACGTCAACCTTTTTAATCAGAATTTTTAGAAAAAAATTTTGGTATGCGGTTTTGTAGCCCATTAAATTATAGTAAAATGCAGTGCAAGTTTCAAGCTGCCAAAAAAATCCCGTTATTTTAGTATTTTTTCCCCCGGCAGTGTCTTATAAATAAAATAAAACTGTCGAACAAACTACTTTGCATAGAAAAAATGCGAAACACCATCAAACAAACAAAAAAAGTATCAAAAAGTAACGGTATTCTTTATCAAATTGAAACATGCACAACATTATACAACATTTTAATGGGAAAAGAAACTAGTACATACGATTTTTTTTTTATTCTTAATAAAAAGTTTAAAGTTTTGAAAGTTTTTTCGAAATTCTTGATTCTTAAGTGGAGATCCAACATATTTCCCAAGGTTTCACTAAAAATAGAATAAAGTTTGAATTCAAATTGATATCCAAACTTTTCTCTCGAGTGGAGAACTCAGATAATTTTCCATACAAAAAATGTGCCGTTTGCTTGGAGAATGGGTTGGTTCTCCAATTGAGGTACACTTGAAAATCAACATTGGACCTTGGAATTTTTATTTAGAAATTTTAAATGTGGATTTATGTATCTGTTGTTTTTTATGTATAACCTGTTAGACTTTTAACAAATAATAATAAATAAATAATAAACATTAAATAAACAAAAAAAATAAATAACAGTCAGAACTGGTCAAAATATCGCACTCCTATTATTTTGTAGAGAACTGTGCATATTTTGCATGGCTAGAATACAATTCCTCCTAGAATTGCAAAAAATAACAATTCCCTTCAGAGATCTTCAAAAATGGTGATTTAAGTGAGCTGGACCGATTTGAAAATACCTCCAAAAGTGGAGTTTTTTATGATAAAAATAGTTTCTTAAAGAACTTTTTGAAAAAAGTCCCCTCAGATGACAAAACAGATTAAGCTTAAAAAATCTGCATACAATTTTTTTAAAATATTTTCAACGGAATCGTAAGAACGAGATCTTTGATGTTGTTTTTTTTTTACTTTTTCAAAGATTGATTTACGAAAAGCTTGAATAACTGGGCCAAAACTATTCTGATTTAGACTCGTGGGATCTCAGTAGAAAGGTATTTTCCCACTGTTATTTCTGTCCAAAAAAGTCATTCGTGTCTCAATTTTTATATACGTTTTTTTTCAAATACGAACATATTTTAATTCAACTTTGATTGACGTTCGTTCATCGTACCTTTCTCTTTCATCGTTTGAATGAGTTTATTAGCAAAGAAATATAAAGGGTGAGAAAATACCTTTCCAATGACACCTCACACGCCTAAATCGGAAGAGTTTAGGTTCAGTTATTCATGTTTTTCTTATACCAATCTCTGAAAAAAGTTACAAAAAAAAAACAGCATCACAAATCTGATTATTACGATTCCGTAAAAATTTTTTTTAAATATTTTTATGCAAATTTTTTAAGCTTAAACCGTTTTGTCATTTGAGGGGATTTAAAAAAAAAATCTTTAAGAAACTATTTTTATTTATAAAAAACTCCATTTTTGGAGGTATTTTCAAATCGGTCCAGCTCACGTAAATCTTAATATTTTTCCGAAATATTTTGGTGGACGTATTAAAATATAATAGATTTTATAATTCCAATGGAAAAACAGTACCATTTTATTTTTTTTTTTGTATGGGAGTGATGCAGTCTAATGTACATGTGTATGTATGTACATATATAATAGGGTGTTCGATTATTCGCCTTTTTTCCAAACAAATGCTTATGCTTGAATGAATTCATGACCAAAAATTACAATAAAACTATTAACTGTAAAGATAGCTTTTATTTAGAAAAGAGCAAAGCAAAACAAGTTCGAAGTTAATTTAGATCAAAAGTAAAACAAATAAAAATCAGTGAAAAATTCACGTTTGGTCATATTTAAACTTGTTTTAATACTTTAGTATGAAATGAAACACCCGGTTTGTTCGCCTATAGATTAAATAAAAACAACGTTGGAAACCGCTTTAGAAAAACCGAGTCAATCAACTTGTATGTATATGTACATATATGTAAGGCTAACTATGTTCTACTAGTTTCTTTACTTGAGATAATCTTTTAAAGCTTACTCAGTAATAATGTTTAATTAATATGCCAAGGAATGCAATTTAAATTTCAGATACTAGTATATCACTCGTTTTTTGGAAGAGTAAAAAATAATTTAAAAATTTTTATTTCCTATTTATTTTTATTTACATCGGGATAACAGATTAGAAACGGTCTACCGTTTCTCTTGAAATTTTGAATTTTTTGATTATGATCAGGGCCGAAAAGTTTGAGCTTTTGCTTGAAATTGCTTATTTTGCTTATTCAGGGTTTCCAAGCTTAATTTTAATGATCATGCTTATTTTGCTTATTTTAACGTATAAAGCTAAGTAACAGAC